ATTAACAAATTCCATATAATGCTATGCATTGAAGACAAATTTGGGGCTCCTGCCCTTCTCTCGTCTCACTGAGAATAAAACATGTCTTGATTTGTGTAACGTCCATTCCAATGATCACATGCTGTAAATGGACATGACAAATAATCAAGACAATTTTCCCAGATGAGGCTGTAGAAAGGCGAGCCGAAGGCCTGAAACATTGCATTGACTCTTTTTCTCTCATTCCAATGACCAGAAGAAAAAAAAACAAGAAAAATCCTGAAAACATCGCAATTTCCACAACGCACCAACGGAATATGCTGTCCTGTTGTGATGGAATACACATGAAATGGGGTGTAAGATTAATACACTGCATAATCTTTTCCCTACTTGGGGGCAAGACAGAAACATCTCGACCCAATGGATAAGGTTCTTAAATGTCTAGCCTGAGGTTTTACTGAGGGCCAGACATTTAAGAATCTTACTCAGAGGGTTGAGATTTTTTCTGTGTTACTCCTAAAGTGGGGAATGAACAGTTTTCTCCCACATCAAATACAAGTGGTAGTTTCATGGAGTTATTTTCGGTGATCTGCTATGGTGGATGTGATTATATTGTTGACCGACATCATACAATTGTTATGACAGGGGAATCCCCCCGTCTCTCTCCCTGACTGGGAGTGTGGATATCTCTATCTAATAGGTGAGAAGGAAAATTCTGTAAATTGTCACAGGGATGAGAGAAAAGTACATTTACTGAAAACTGAGATTTTATTTCAAAAATACATTTTACCTTCAGCCAGTTACTTGTTGGCTATGTTAATCAGTGTTACTTCTATACGTTAACACCTAAAACAGTGAATGCTGCTCCTGCTTAACGCTCAGCAAATTAGGAGTGGGACGACTGGTTCGCCCGTTGTCAGTATAATGTGACCGGGTGGGGCGTCCTGCTGGGTGTCTTCGGCAGTATGTTTCAGTGAGGTAGCACTATAAAGTCGGCATCAGTTCCGCGCTATTACAAGAAGACAAACACGAACATATCGCAGCCTCCCAAAATACACACACATACACTACACGCATGCATCTTGCACACAGGGGAGGCCGTCCTTAAATGACCTTAGCTGTTAATAGGACGTTAAACAAAATCAAACAAACAAACAAACAAAGTGAATGCTGAGTATAACCAGAGGCACAATGTTCATTTGTCTTTCAATGGGGCTGGCAAGCACATCCTACATCCGTGACCTTGAGAGTGAGTCAAGGTCAAATAACACTACAGTAGGTAACATTAAAGGCTAAATACCACTACTCTGTATTATATGGAACTTTGTTGGAAGATTTAACCCGACTTAACTCATTCAAACTTGCTCCATGCTATCCATTTAAACAAACTTGGTAAGTTGTGATGAAGATGGTGGAAAGATATGGTTTATCGGAATATACTTGATAGCCAGTCTATTAGCCAAGCATGTCAGGCAAATATTTCAAATACCATTCAAACCTTAAGCTTAGAAGAAGAAATTGAAACATTTAAAAATAGTTTACCCCTATGGCCTTGACCTTGAAAAAAAGGTCATGGTCATCAATTTGAAAACAAATTGCAGCCCTTTACTCTAGCATGCTATATGTGAAGTACGACCTTTCCCTCCTGGTTTGAAATTCATCAGAGGATTTTGATGACATTTGTAGGTCAAGTTCGTCCATTTGAACAATGCTATAAGTCAACTTGATACCATTCTTGACCATATTGTTTTTAAGGAGAAGTTACGACACAGACGCATCCTTAGTTACACACCCATTCATCCAATGACACAAACCTGAAATACTTCGTCTTCCTTACACCATAACACAATGGAACACCCTTCTAACTTCTTTTCAAACAATGCGCAACATTTGAAGAATTCAAACCAAGCACCGCCGCATACAACATTAATGGAAGAATACATCAACAACATAACGGCAAACTGATTCCGTTTCAAACCTCTTTTAAAATAATTTACCCTTTTTGCCTTGAACAAAAGCCATGGTCATCAATTTGAAAACGCTATATGTGAAGTACGACTATACCTTCTTGGTTTAAAATTCATCAGGGGACTTTAATGTAGGTCAAGGTCGTTCATTTGAACCATGCTATAAGTCAACTCATACCATTCTTGACCATATGGGTTTCAAGGAGAAGTTATGACACAAACACATTCTTAGTTACACACCGCTCATCCAATGACATAAACCTGAAATACTTCCGTCTTCTCTTACATCATCACATACTGGAACACCCTTCTAACTTCATTCAACTAATACACAACATTTGAAGAATTCAAAACAAGCACCGCCGCATACAACATAATGGAAGACATACACCAACAACATAACGGCAAACTGATTCCGTTTTAAACCTCTTTGATCCTATATAAAAATAAAATATAAAAAAAGTATCTATTTACTTGCATCATGCTGCACCCCGCCGCTCCACGTGTCCACAACCATCTGTATTGATGGAGGAATTAAAACTATATCAAGATGTAGACAACAGAATATATAGGTAACTCAATAGTGAGGATTCGGAATTGAAAAGTGTACTTCGGGTATTCCACAAGGATCATTTTTGGGTCCGCTTCTTTTTCCTATCTCTTAACAGACGATACTAAATTCTCCAAATTAATCACAGAGGAAAAATAGTAAAAGGTATTGCCTAAGTGGACTGAAGACCAGCTTCTGAAAATCACCCGTAAAGCAGATACTTCACACGTGCACATCGGTAAGTCCACTGAAAGACGAGAGTCATCCTGGCTGTTGAATATAAGCATAATGATAAAGAACTAATTTCTATAATGAATGAAAAAGATATTGGTGCAATTAAATTTTGACAATCACATAAATGAAAACGTTTAGAAAGCAAAACCAATGTTTACAATGCTGAGCAGGACCTTTTAATTTCAAACAAGATAACGCAAAGCGTGTCATTATCCCCCGCCCCCCGCTGTTTAAAAGAAAGACATGCACAATCATATAATTATATGTTTGTTAATATTACAATAACAGGTATTAACTCCATTCCACCGCTGTTACCGATATTTTGATGTAGATCATCTTTTACAAAACACTGATGACTTCCCCATCAAAAAAGGCTTGATGAGAGCACTAGCTATAGCTTCATAAGTGTACAAAACTTCCTGTATACATCTTGAATGCAAACCGCTCCAATAGAGTGCTAGGTTAAATTTCAATTTTGTTTTTTTTAATAGTTTTTAGATCATGCTTCAGAAACCTCAAATTAAAACGTGAAATTTGTAGTTTTGCCTAACTAGAGTGATAGGATGATAAGTGGACAAAGTTTCAGTACATGTGGTGAAACAACAAAATTTGTAGTTTTGCCTATCTGTTTCCATAGTAACCAAATTATTTTTTTTTTAGCTATAATAGCTCTCTACACCCCTGGAATATGTCATGGCAAAATTGAAGGCACGAAGATAGCTGTTCTCAGGTAAGAAAAACTGACCAATCGCTAGGCTGATACCCGTCCTTTGAAGATTACAAAGGAGAGACGCCCGACTTCAAAGCCCGTCAATATTTACCGTTACGTGACCGCGAGAATCTTTTGATGTACATCAAAGGATCGAACTAGTCTTCTTGTCTCATCAACAAGGTGGTGCACATCGAGCCTTCAATTTTGCCATGACAAGCGAACGTGAGAGTAACCCCTGGAAATTGGGGATGTAGCAAAAGGCACTACCAGAATGCTAGCTTGATAGTTATACAAAGTTTCAGGTTGTTGCTTTGAACGGTTTTGGAGTCATGATCCATAAAACTGACATTTGTAATTTGGCCTAACTGTTTCCATGGTAACAGAAAAAGTATTTTTATAGATGGGAACTTCTCCATAGTAAAAGGTACTACTAGAGTACTAGCTTGATAGCTGTTCACAGTTTTGAGTAATTATCTTGAACGGTTTCAGAGCTCTGGTCCGGAAAATGCCAATCTGTTATTTGGCCTATCTGTTTCCATGGTAACAGAAAAGGTATTTAAATGGGGAACTTCTCCATGGCAAAAGGTACTACTAGAGTACTAGCTTGATAGCTGTTCACAGTTTTGAGTAGTTATCTTGGACGGTTTCAGAGCTCTGGTCCGGAAAATGCCAATCTGTTATTTGGCCTATCTGTTTCCATGGTAACAGAAAAAGTATTTAAATGGGGAACTTCTCCACAGCAAAAGGCACTACTAGAGTACTAGCTTAATAACTGTTCACAGTTTTGAGTAGTTATCTTGAACGGTTTTAGAGCTCTGTAACGGGGAAAAAACATGCACAGACGCACAGACGGACGGACGGAGCCCAATAATATCCCCGCAAACGCGCTTCGCACGGGATAAAATTATAAAATGACCAGTGGTGTATATATATCTATGATTAGGAACGTAACGTTGTTCTTGTGAGAAATTATGTTCGGATATGGTCACCAAAATCCGTAAAAGGGAAATTAAGGAAACTCTTTTTTCCACAATGGATAAATTCAACATCTAGGAGAAACTCCTTCACGGTGAGGACTACATGTAATATAGATTAGTGAAATGCTACCCAAATATATTATATATACGCATCAAATACAAAACTGATTTAAATAGATTAGAAATTAACCCACGACGTGTATTTCATTCTAGAGCTAAACTATTGATTGGACGAAATCACAGTGTCTCTACCATTACAACTTACATTTATTTTCTATATTATGATAATGTAATCTACTTATGTGCTACAATAACATATACGTATGTATGATATAATCTTACATTTCTGAGTCAAGTGAATCATGGAGAGGACCGTCTAATCCTGTATACGTACTGGTTTATAGAAGTAAAATACCGAATACCAGGGGAATATATTGCTTTGACTGTAATTTTTAATGCTAATTATATGCAATTTGTGTCTGATTACAACATTTAATTGAATTACAGAGTTTCGCGCGAAAATTACACATTCGGAACATTTCAGATTTGTTTACCGATTATACAAACACACACGAAAGCGACCGAACTATATACAAAATGGCGCCATGCATGAAAACATTGCCATGCTGAAACTGTCAGTGTTTTGAAAATGACAACTTTACGATACTTTTCGTTCTAACATACTAACACGGTGAGAAACGTAAACAGCTTATAAGTATATATGTTAGAGAACAAAATATATCACCCAGAGATTTTACTGTCAGCGATCTTCGAGCCTTGCAATGGACATCGGACTTGAAATGAAATGTGACGTGATATGTCGCTGATGTTGATATCTAGTCTAGATATTATCGACTCACATTTGAACTTGATCGCGGAAAGTGTAATGCAATCGCTAACAACACGTTTGTTCGTATTGGTTAATTTTGACCATTTACTTATTTTGAATCTATTTTTCAGTTGATGATGCAACTGAAATTGTAATCACTTGCCAGCTTTGTAATTCGCAGTGCGTTGTTGCCAGATTGAATTTGGAGAAAAAGGCGGTCTATATAATATATTGCTGACAACACAGGGGCTGGCCACACTAATGCGATGTGTATATATATACTATATATATAATAGTAGTATATGATCTTAGTGTGTCAGTTGAGACGGACCACAGACTTCGATAGCAATCTTATCTAATTCCATGGAAGGACTACTGTATATTCATATTTTTGTATATACCGAGTTTCCTCTGGCCCTGACACCAGACATCTATATGACAAAATGTCTTAAGTCTTGCTTCAGGATCAGAGGAAACTTGGGCTAATTTTTGTATTGATCCCAATTATTTATGATTCACCCAACTGACTAGATATGATCATGACATTTTGTAATATAAAGTTTTAGTGTAAGGCTGTAAATATAGGTTCTTTTCTAATTAAAACATCAGACAACATTTTTGTGTAAAAAAATTGATTGAAATAAAACAGGTTTAGTGAACATTTTGAATAAGCTTTTGAGTCACTACTGCCTATTATTTAAATTATTTTAAGTTAAATGACCCACATTTGTTCCAAATGTTGAAAGAGCCGTGAATAATTTAACAAACAGGTAAGAAACAAAAATCACTTATAGTCTGCAGGATACTAGCTATATAGTGATGTTTACCAAAGTTATCCTACATTGTTTAGATAGGACAGGAATCTTTTCTGGTCCAACTAGAACTGCATGTAATTTAATTTGAATCTGAATGACTTTTTCTAAAAAACAATACTTATTTTGAAAATAATATTGAAAAATCTATAATCCCTATTTCGTCTTCCATAGATATGGCCCATGTACATATGTTGAGTGTTTCTCATTTGTAAAACATATCTAATGTGAATGTATACACTTGTGAGAGAAACATCAAAATAGTAAATAGATAAGTTGAATTACTAAATATTTTTTTCTAGCTCATAGTCCAGCTTATAGTCCAGCTCTGTCATCTCCCATCAGTACCTAACACTGTTGAAATAAATGTGTTTTTGATTTTTAGATAATTTGAGTTAAACAAGATGGATACCGATTTTTTGGGAGCCATCAGAGACGAAGTTGCCTTGGAAGGATTGGATGGTAAGAAAAAGTAACATTAATAGAAGTCTCCAGTTTGATGAGATAAAAATGATTTCAGCACATTTGTGATATTATATATATAATGAGTTCATTATTGATTTAATAGAGAAAATTGATGTTAAAACATCGTCATACCATTAAATACATTTTTCTGGTTTATTTTAGAGTCAGGCAGTTAAATCAAAGTAGATTAATTACTTTTGACTTGATTTAGCAAATTTTATTTTTGTTATGTAAATGTGTTGATTTTCAGGTATAAGCATCGAGTCCCTCTGGGTGAGGTTGTCCGCGAGACAGAATTTCTCCATCAAATTGACCGACAAGTCCAAGGCATATCTATGGAGGTGCCTGGTCACCCTGCAAGGCCTGGAGTACTATGAAATCCCTGAACCTCAACCTCCTCTCGTCGTCTACAATAGCTTGGAGTCATTCGACCCAGACTCAGGACGGCTGATAGAACTTGTAAGTTGTAATGTACACTTTTCATGTGTTTTGAAAGGATGTTTAGAGTGATCATGATTAATAAATCTTGGGATAACAATAACTTGGGTGTTTCTGACCTATGAGCTGTATTATAACCCCTTTTGTCAACCTGGGATTGGTAGAGTTTGATTGGGATGTCATTACCCAAAATACACTTTAACATGAGAAAATGACTATGAAATGCACTCTTTATGGTGAGTTTTGGATAGCATCCTAATCTAATTATAGACTTAATACACATATTGTAATCAGTAGAAATATTCAAAATATGAAATTGTACACCTTTGGATGACATGCATAAAATTTTCATAATATAATTGCTACACTTAGATTTATTACAGATGGAAATGTTAAGTTTAATTTTAAAATTAAATCATACTTGCTTTCCATTTCAAATTGCACATGATGGATAAGGGCAGGGATAAAACAATACACAATGAAAGGTGAAATTCATTACTGTATCTAAATATTTTTATTTTGCTTAGGACAATTATGTGAACATTACACTTTTGTGTGTCTGTGTTGATAGGAACAAGTTCCAGAAGACCCGTATCCCATTGACATTGTAAGTAAGGATGGTATATATGGATCATGCTCAATGTTTGAAACACGGAAAAATGTGACAGCTTTGGTGAAAGCAGATGGAAAAAGACCAGCTGTTACATTGGAAGAGGCTAGAAACACGTTAGTTTTTCCTTTCTTTCATTTCCACTGAACTGAGAGTTTTGAAGTAATTATGTATAAATTCCAATGTGTTAGTTATTACATATATAAATATTATGCAAATATTTGTATTGTCAAATTTTGAATTTAATGTTGCTGTTTCTGTTTGTTACATGCCTTCATATTTTCGATATTGATTTATATTTGTGATATTTAGCTGGGGCGAGAAACTGGTGATTGTGGCGTCCCAGGAGATTCGTGAGAATGCTATCTGCGGACATTTGTATGACCCTTCTCACAACTGGTCCGCTATGACCCATGCCTACTGCATCCTGGAGCGGATTGGCAGGTAATATAATATATACCCAGGTGATACAATTAAACCATCTTGTTGGCAGGTGTTGATTCACTGGCTAGTTCCAAGTAATTAAAATAAAGGTAGATTATTGGGTTAGACTAAAGGGTTACACCTCAATAAAACATTCATGTGAGCATTTATACCAAGGTATTTTTGTTAAAATGCTTTGGTAACTTATAATGTCATTGAAAAATTGAGTTTATTATTATCATAAAATGATGATTTGAGAAAGTTTCACAGATAAAGGGAGATAATTAGATTGGACACTGCATTATGAATTCTACGGATGTAGGAGAGTATTGAGAATAAGCCTGTTCCCTCTTTTGCTGCATTTCTAAAGAGAGCATGATCCCCTTTGTATAGATCATCTTGGAAATCAGTATGTGAAGCTGTTAGGAATGAATATTGAAATATCAGCAATAAAGAAATGATTCACTGTATGTATAAAATGTGTATTCATCTTTTTAGCCTTGTTTGTTTCTGAGATCGTTGCACAATCACTGTCTCTTTTTATAAGTCATTGTGCAATGGTTGTGTGTCGTGTTTTAGGTAGTCATACAATATCTGTATGTCTTTTCTAAGGTTGCGTTACAACAGTTGTACGTCTTATATTTTCAGGTCGCGGTACAATGGCTGTATGTCTGTGGGTCCGTTCAGTCTCCAGGTGTTCAGTATGCCTCCCAAGACCATATTCTATCACACGAAAATTCTGGTGAGGTTAGGACTGGTCAAGAAACAAGTAAGTCCTTAAGTCATTTAGCAAAGAAACGGGCAAATCACTGAATCAATTGGAACAGAAACAGGTATATCACTGAATCAATTGGAACAGAAACAGGTATATCTCTAAATCAGTTGGTGAATAAACAGATAGTTTACTTAATCAATATTTGAGTAAACAGGTTAATCACCAAATCAATTGGTGAAGGAAAAGGTAAATCATTACATGTAGTAGTTGGTTCAGCTGCCTTGCCATACCACATTCATCAACTGGTTTCTTAATTTTTCTCTCTGGTTTTGTTGTTCAAAGAGAAGTGCAAGCCTAAAGGTCAATGGTAGCTATTCGAAGAATTTTGGTATTCAGTGAGGTTTTAAATTTTACCAATGGTTGGAAAAATGTAAAAAGGAATTTTAAATGTGTGATGGTTTCTGTAAAAGTATGTGAGCTGTCATTTTAAAGTATGGATGTTATTACAGAGCTTGACAGTGGTGGATATGAAGCACAAACAGCAGATTCGGCGTATCTTCCACCTGGAGCGGTTTTACAAGGAGATCCAGTCCAAGTACAGTATACTAATACTACAGGCGTGTAACTACCTGGCCTCTCGCCCAAATCACAGGGAGGTCGCTAGCACGATACGCGAGCACCTGGTAGGTTGTCTTTGGATCTGGGTTTATATAGCACGATAGTTAATGGTGATACAAGACACCCCTGAAGACATTTTTGAGTAAGAGTGTCTAGGGTTAGACTAGTGTGTCCTGTTCGTAAGTCAATGGTTTAGATTAAACCTGATTAACATGCATACTGTGTACTACAGTAGACCCATGCCTGGTAATAAGCCCACCCATAGCTATTGAAGTTCAGTCGAAATGCCAACAAATGCTATTTCATTGGCCTGTATTAAACCCATCTCCTACTTTGAGACATAGATTATATATTGGCCCCCTTTGAGACATAGATTATATATTGGCCCCCTTTGAGACATAGATTATGTATTGGCCCCCCATTGCAGTAAAAGTGGTGTAATACCAAACTGTCAACTTCCAAAAAACATGTAGTGATTGCATATTTAGGATTCCCATAAAATTGTTACTATGCATTTGAAACTGATTTTTCCAGCATGACTATAGCTTTGATAAAAAAATGTCTAAAAAGAAAACCATACATTGTGTGACTTTTAAGAGAAAATATAACAGTTTAATTGAACCAAAAATATAAACAACAATAGAGTGTAAAATTCAGTGTAGACAGACCAGTATTTAAACCTCAGACTTCAAATTGTTATATTGTTGCTCTAACCGATTAAGCTACCTTGTCTACAAAAGTCCCTTTGCCCAATCGCTCTGCAGTTATATCAAAAACAAAATGAAGGGGAGGTTTCTGTATATAAAAACAACTAGGCTACATTCGCTTATCCCGGTTGGAACTGTACATGTGGCGCAGAAATATTGCATGATAAACGAACGCACTTGGACCGTTCTATTGGTAGAGCTAAAAAAATACACAGTTTCAGAGGATAAATAACAATGTATCAAGAATATTATGCCCTTCATCACGCGTCCGCTGAATTACATAACGTATCTTAAAAATTACATGTGGCTTGACATTGTTTTTGAATGAAATAAGGCAAATTAGCAATAGTCAGCATTTAAGTTTCAGTCAGGTAAGTCTGGACCCCTCAATCTACATGTGCACAATATTCCTGAGGTCAGCCTCGGTTCAGATCTGCGCCTGTCGTTTTCCTTCCAGGTTCAACTGTTTCAACTGGTTGAACCCGATAAACTAAAGGGGCCCTACTCAACAGTGGAACTCTCTAGTGTTTTGCCTGCAGTGGGACAGGCATCCTTTAAGTGGATAACTGATAACAGATTCATATAAATACCCTCGTAATACATCTTCGTAACTACAGGCCTATTGATTGAGGTCAATAGCATGAACTCATTCACCCCTACATATTTAAACTGGACTTCCCCAGTCTTTGATTTGGTGAAGTTCAAATGTGACTTGAGGGGTGAATTGGTTAAGGCATAGTTGAAAACATATCTTTCATTTTCATTAAAAAATGCATTAAGTGGTACATTTATAGATGCAGATTTGCCAATTCGGTCAAATCTGGTAGTGGAGCGTTGTAGACAGTGCCTTTGATGATTGATTGTTGTAGGAGGTAGATGCGACCTTGTTTAAGAAGTTGTACTACAGCTACCCGAACTTCTTACGTGCTGACAAACTTCCATACAGAGACCTGTTTCCAGAAGCTACAGAGGAAGAGTACTTGTGCAAGTAAGTTTGTCAGGTGTTACAGTCACAAGTATGTCCAGTGTTGTGGTCAAACAAATACATCAGGTGTTTCGGTCAAGTACATCAGGTGTATAAGGGCCAAGAATAAAACTGTAATCAGAGACTTCTGTTGAAACCGTTTACACTGTACTAAAATGACTTCATTTTGTCTGTGTGTCTTTACCAACACTTCTGAATGTTTGAATATTAGTGGACAAAATTCCATAGATAAGTGACACTTGTAGTGCTCAACTCCGTGACTCCTACTCTAAATGTTGAGGTCAAAGCAAGGGCTCAAAAGTAGGGATAAGTATGGTATTAATTCTACACAATATGTCATGGAAGGGGGAAATGTATTTTGTCAGTACTAGCCATTGTGTCACAGGAGAGGATATGAATTAATCATGTTTAGCTCATCTGGTTTGCCTTGGGGTCAGCTCCGTTCAAAATGGACTAAGTCCCGTAGTCATAACATGGAAACATTTGAGATCCACTCCCTCTTATAACAATAAATACAATAGCTGGGCATGGAGATTTGGATACACAATGCTGCCAGGGTTTGCTCCAGGGACTGGCCCTATTCCTAGGATGTTAATTGCCCCACTACTTTTAATGAGAATATTGCCATGATTGTTTAAATATCTAGATGAGCAAAACAGGCCCTCTTGGCCTCTCATTAGGTACTGTTTTCTTATTTTGCTATTATGAGATATTAAAATTTCATTGGCCCTGCATAAGACATAATACAACTTTCAAGTTGTTTAGTCAATGTCCATACAGTTGATTTTAATCCATGACAAAGTTTTTCCGTTTTTTAGCGCAGTGCATTACCGAAATTCATGTTATCCTTTCTACTGTAGGATATTTAAATAGTGTGATCTTGTGTGATATTTGATATAAGAAGTTTTGTTCGTAAAAGTGTTATTATGCTGTCCTGACCATTCTAACAGGAATCGGCTCTCCGAGAAAATGGTCCATAGTATCACCATGGTTCAGCATGTGTCTGTAAAGAAGGAAGACAGTGAGGACGAAGGAGAGGACGAGGAGGAGGATGAAGATGGTGCAGACGACACTGGAAACGATCTGTCTGGTAAAGCAAAACTAGGTAGGTAGTATTTGGATAATTTTGGTGGTTTCTGATAAGTTCCAGCTCTTTTATTTAGGTTTGAGATATAAATATTAAGTATATTTAATGCTAATGTAGCACTCAATTAGGAAATGTAGATGTCACATTTGAGGAATGTTATTTAGCCCTGTAAACATGAGTAGAATGAAGTTCCAAGGAGTTATTATATATAAGATATGACTGGGGCAAAAAATACATAGATTGGTATCTCACAGTTGTTAGGGGTCTTCAACAACATGTCTGTGTTAATGGCCTTGCAACCCACTGGAGGAGACTGTAAGTTTTTCTCTCTTTTCCTGCAGTCAGTCATTTGTACAACATCTCATCTATGTGTTTAGCTCCATTTCTCATAAAGCTTAAACATGTGGATACATGTTGAAGAGTACTACAGCAATATATATTAATGTAGGTCACTGTGACCTATATTTCATTTTACTGACTTTAATTACATTGTGTGTTTGGCTCCATTTCTTTGATAAGACCTTTGTTTAGTTCTTTTGCATCAAAGCAGAAATTGGAGTAAAATTGTATATGTTTTACAAACATTTTTGAGTCAATCTTGTTATTAAAATTGATGCATTTCTTTCACATCTGATTGTAACTGTTGGTAATGATGAGTGAACTCCTGAAAACTGCTGTGCTAATTTTCAGAACACACAGGGTCCTGTATAACCATGTGAGGTAAGCCTTAGATGTTATAGTCTGAATGTAAAACAATGTTGTCTTTGTAGGCAAATATGAGTGGGTATATGAGAGAACTACCCTACAGCAGTGTTACGATGCGATCAAAAATGTGGGCCCGGAGGGTGTGACTCAAACGTCTCTTACAAAGATACTCAACGTTGGTGACAACATGGCACGTGTCCTCATTAAAAACATGATCCGCATGAACATGGTTGATCAAATCCTAAAGGAAAAGGGCAAGCAGAAGGTCAAATAGTAAGTGACCAAAGTCTTTCAATGGAGCCGGCTGTTTTTGAATGTAACTCATTTCATTTTTGGAAAAAAAGGATAAAAGCTGCACTTAGTACATTCCAACCTCACCCGTTGGTCTTATGATCCGGGTTCAGTAGGATTAACTGTAGATTCTGCTTGATAATGGTTAACACATGATTTGGCAATCGGCATTAAAATATCAAAACACAGAGTCAGTTTCTCCTTATATATATATATATAAAAAGCTGTCTATTTGCCTAGGAAAAAACAGGTAATACATAAATTTCTGAGGGAGAATATTTTTGTCATATTTTGGGACAGTTTCATATTAACTTTGAACTTGATTCAAAAGTGATATTTGTTCCCAAAGGTGAATAATCTGATTGATTTACAGAGATCTAAAATTTGACATGCTCCCCAATCACAATGTCAGTGTAGAGGAAACTGCGTCACATTGTATACTCATGTTACTGTGCCTTGTTTGATGTACATGTAAAAGTACGCGATTGAATAAACCCTGAAATCTGAAAATTGGTTTTTGAATTTCACTACAGTTACATATCTGATAAATCCCCGCTAACATTCTATAAAAACGTGATGGGAATATGAAAAATGTCTCATTTGATCATGGTGCCAAACCATGAAATGTTGACCTCGCAAAATAATAGGTATTTCCTTTGTAGTACATGTGAAGGGTACAAATCCAAACACTTCTTACTAAAGTATGATGCTTCTTCTGCCTAGTTTCATAGCTAAGGAACATCGACTCCAGAGTAAGCTGTATCAAGAATTTGTGGAAGAAAAAGAAAAACTTTTCCAGAAGGAAGAGCTGTCTTCTGGAAATGCTGATCCTCATTTGGGCTCAGGTATGTAGATTGTTCATATGTACTTGAACTATTATAAGGTTGAAGTATTTATATGGAGTGTTAGCAATGTTCTGGACAATATTTTTGATATTTTAGGGGCCAAAACAGCTTTATTGGACTTGATTAATGTTTATGGGTAAGCTTGAGGTTAAAGTTTTTGGGCAAGTTTTGTTGGGTAGTGTTGGACCACCACCATCAATAGGCTGTTGTCTATTGTAAGGTTGAAGTATTTGTATGGAGCGTAAGCAATGTGTTGAACCATACTTTCATATTTTAGCGTCCAAAAACAGCTTTATTGGACTTTGTTAATTTCTTAACAATCACACATAACATAAATGTTTCTCAAGTCTACAGGTATATCTACATATACTAACATTTCACAGTTAACGGTCCTTGAAATATCCTGGTGGTAAGTGAGATGGCAAATAAAATGACAGGCACTATATCAACGTTTTACTATACATGTGTTTCTATTGATAGTTTCAGTATTATAATAACATAGGCGAGCTATGCTGTTCTCCAACAGCTCTTGTTTAAACTGTAATTCATGGACATTGGAGTTTAAGTTTACGGTTACTTACATGTAAATGGAGTTCAAGTCGGATTGATTAAGGATGAAATAGGGTTCAGTTCAATTAAGAATAAATTTCATTGCTATTGGCAATTCATTATACTGGTTTGATAATATTCATAGAGTAAAAGAAACCAAACATGTAGACATGTGCTGTTGAGATTCCTTTACGTCCTTCCATGTTTCTATGTAGGGATCACTGGTGAATCCCCTATGGACCCACCCGAGAACACTACTGCGGTTTCTACATCAGGAGTGTTGCCTGGATCTGTCCTTTTCTTCTTGAAAAAAACTAGTAATCTTTCTTCACAAAATAATTAAAAATTTCAGGACCATCCATGTCAAATGAGACACCTCCAGCCAATGATACTGAAACTGAAGTAACGATGGACATATCTGTCAGCGGTGATATCAATGATGGTGTAAATGGAATAAAAAAGGAGAATACAAAGGGCGAGACCACAGTCATCCGAAGTTGTGAAGACTTACTGGCCGTAGATGAGGTTAAAGAAGGGGTGAAAAAAACAGTGAAGTTCAAAACCAGGAGGAATATGGCAAAAGACAAGAGGTCCGACCTGGGTAAGTTTGATTAGATTTTATTTTCCTCGTCTTTATGAACAGATGAAATCATTGTTTGAGATAATAACATTAAATTGTTAAATTGTACGAAAATGTGAAAGTTTAAATTTTCACAAATGTATTTGGGTGTTCGCTTAAAAAGATCGCAATGATATTGGCTAACTGGGTCTTATGGCTTTGATACAAATTTTGACTAGTTTTCACATATTAGAACATCTAATGTGTCGAAAATAGTCAATTTGGATCAAAGCTGTTAAACATTATTTAAAAAAAACGAAAAAACTTCGACAGATTTTGCCATGTTCGTCTGTCCTGTTAAATGAAGGCAAAAGAGAAGTTAAGCTATCAGATTTGAAGCTGGCTACTAAATTGAATAGTGATAAAATGTCAATCTTAAAAGAAATTTTCTGATTGCTGATTGAAGGAATGCAGCCAATTGCAATGCATCGTATGGTAAAATTCTGTTATTTATGTCAAATCGTTGAGTAGGGAAAACATAGAGCTCCATCTGAATTTTATCGTCAAGTTTCATAACTCATTGTTGTGTGACAATTTTGTGAGCAAAAGTTTTATTGTCGTAACAGTAATTGATAACCAAGACCTAATTAACACTGAAATATTGTGTTCTGCAGAGAGAACGCTGACAAGTCGACATCTGAAGAGAATGTCGATGATCCTGGAAGCTGTAGAAAAGGATAAAGTTTTGGAGAAAACCCACACCTTCATTAAGGTAAGTAAGAAGATACCAGGTTTTAAATGATGCCTTAGTTTAGCATCTACTGTTAAGTTATTATAGATTTCTTTCTCTCAATCTCTATGCAGATAGATGTATGTCAAATCAACTTTAAACATTTCATCGGAACTTCGTGAAACTGCAGATGTACTCATCATACTTTGGATTGTGCACCTTAATTGAGTTTCTGTATATTGATTTGAGTTGTACACATTTTACAGATTTATTTAGCAGTTAAAAGTAAGGTTTGTTTAATAGTTCTAGCTGAGGTGTTCAATCAAGATATCTTATATGGCTTTGTCTTTATTTTGATACACCGTACATTTTATACTGGATAGTGGATTTGATATTTGAATCAGTGTTAAAATTTCTTTATTTGTGTCATTTAAACACATGCAATGTCTGACTTTTCAAAAAACATTTATTCAGATGATTCGAGAACGAGAAAAAACTGAGGGCCTTGACTGCATCATTGACAAGAAAACTTTTGACAAGCTTGCTATTCTGTTGGTGAAAGAGAAAAAAATTAGGATCTTCAAAACTAATATCCCAGGGAGCAATAACGAACAGCTGAGGGAGGTAAGTGAAAATGTCAACATAGCTTTCTCAAATTTACTTCTCCTCGACACCCTCCTCCGAATAATTTCAGTACTAATAACACGAGGGATAGGGAAAAGTGATAGTAAGTATGCCAAGGTTATATGTCAAACAGGGGTTCATAAAGGTTAGTTACTTTCCATAACACTTACAGTATAATATAAACACTATAATATTGTCTATTCTGAATTGAGAAACAATAAGTTTATTTAAATAGAAACAGAATAAGTAGGGATTGCATCTATTATGAGAAATGAACACCTGAAATGGAATTGTTTGACACAAAATCTTTTTTCTATTTTGGGATTTAAGACAGCTGCTAAGGCATCTGATTGGCCGAGACCTTTTAAGGTTTAGCATTATTATGCTTTCATCTGACAGTTCTTGTTCTTTATTTAGGATTTTTCTTGTGAATTGTTTGTATCTATTGAAATCTTCCTAAAGAACTTTTATGACATCAAATGAAGATAAGTCTTGAATGGTTATGACGTTGGGGATAAACATCATCTTTCACCACCTTGAGGGTAAGGCATCAAAATCTCAACCCAAGGCATAAGGTTCTTAAATGTCTAGCCTGAGGTTTTACTGAGGGCCAGACATTTAAGAATCTTACCACGAAGGTTGAGATTTTTCTGTCTCGCTCCTAAAGAGGGGAATGGTTATTTTTCTCTCACATCAAATACAAGTGGTGTATTCATGCAATGCAAAAGTTTATTTCATAATTTCCAGCAGGACGGCGTTATCCTCCGTGGTCTGCTATTGTTGATGTGACGTCATTACATTGTTGATGTGACGTCATTACATTGTTGATGTGATGTCATTACATTGTTGATGTGACGTCAGTGCATTGTTGACTGACATCATACAATTGTTATGACAGGGGAATCCCCCCGTCTCTACCCTAGGGTAAGACAGAGATATCTATCCCTGACCAGAAATTTGGATGTCTCTGTCTAATGGGGAAGAAATTGATATGTCTGTGGCTTATAGTTCTACGTCATTATATCGTGTTGCTGTTCCACAGGTTCAGCTTTTGTGTGCCAAGCATATCCAACCAACAGATGCATTGATAAAGAGCAAGCTGGAACAGCTTCACCTGAGGTCGCGCTGTGTACCCAAGGAACGTTTGGTCAAAGCGCCGAAGAAAAGTCCAGCAAAACAACAGGTGTGTTGGTGAAATTCAACATCAAAATACAAGGATATGTAGTAGTGATGACAAACATTGAGGTTCAAAATATTTCTTGATATTGAATTTGTTTCAATGATCTATTTTATCTTGATTTTTCCTTTAAAGAAATCTTAGATTGGGGTAATACAGTGTAATGATAGGAATTCTTAACACACTTTTTTTTTTTTGCATAAGTAAAGGATCTCTTATATTTTCCCATTTACTTGTTGTTTTTGTGAAATAAACTTCAGTTATGGATGATCTCTTGTTTACAGAATGTGACAGTGTTTTATTTTAGATTAATTTTGCTTGTTGACAGAAGTTCACCGACTTGCCTGAGAGTACCCAGGAGAACCTGAGAAAGCTACAGGAGTACAAGATGAAGATCAAGTCGTTCGACATGGTCTATGATCCGGTACGTACAGACAACGGTTGTAATGGTAGTCCATTTAACTTTTATTTCATAACAGCAAACAACTCATGACAACCTGTTAATCTGTCTACGACCGCTGATCATTTTCTGCTTTTGAATTGTCAATTCTAAATATGCAGGGTTTTTAACATCAAAGCTGCTTTAGATTTCCAAACTAATTTGATATAATGCAGTTTCAAATATCAACACTCTGAGAAGAGCTGTGAGTTTTACAGATAAGTTGAATTGTAAACATCCTGCCATACTTGTCTTGAAGTCACTTGGTGAGTTTATCAACTTAACCCTTTCACCACTGTAGACCACAATGGACTTGTCCAGATCAATGTAAGGGAGAGTCTACTAAAATTGCATAGGGGTGAAAGGGTTAAGCAATATCTATGCGCTTTGTTGGGTTTTGTGTATTCGAAACATCAGGTCATATGACGTCTGTGTCAACAGATGATGGGGCCCTGGTCCTACGACGTCTGTGTCAACAGATGATGGGGCCCTGGTCCTATGACGTCTGTCGACAAATGGTTGGGCCTATAAAGGACGGAACAAGAATGTGTTGTTACCATAGTGTTATGTGTGGAGGATACCACTTCTCGTTTTGTGGAGTAATAATATCTACATGTCTTCACTTCATCGTTTTGTTTATTTCTGCAAACGTTACACATTATGATGTCACAATTATGATGCTGACGCAAACACAAGGGATATTTCGTGACAGCATATGAGAAGATGAAATATTGATGATTGTGTTACCATAGTAATTCATATTTCAGTTTAATGATTTGAATGGCAGATAACAACCAAGGATTTCTAGCTAAAATGGAGTGTCCTTTTAAGCTATGTCATATGACATTCTGTTTTACACTTGGACTACAAGCTTTCATATCGTGTGGACTAAACAATTAATTATTGTGTCAGTACAGCAATATTTAAGGGAGGTAGTTAATAGATTGATCTTCCCTGTTGTAGATTGCACCTAAACAGTACGGCTACTTACCAAAGATGCGGAGACTCTGTATGGCTCACAACATTTTGTGGTACCTGTGTTACGACTACAGAGGGTGTGTTTTACCCGAAAGCTCCGCACATAATCCATCGGAGTCCACGCCGGGCCGAGATACGTCCGTTTCCATGGAAACTCAATCTGAGGCGATTGGTACATGGTCAGATGATTTGAAGACATCCCGGTCAACTGAAATATCAAGAAGTGATGTTGCTATGGAAACAGATCAGGCAAAAAGTCAAGGTCATATGGGTTCAAACAAGCCTGATATGGAGACAGAAGACTCTGAAAAATCTATTGATGTAAATATACTGTCTCTAATAGCTTTACATTTTGTTTTTATGAAATATTTTTCTCACATTATGAAGATACATTCGGCAGGTATGCCAAGAATGTATTCAAATATTCTTCAAATATGGTTTCTCTGTCGACGATTATCTCGAACATTCCACTGCATAACACAGTAGCCGTGAGATGTTATAATACAAACTAATTATCAACTCATAATATCTTTTAAGAATATTGATATCATTTCATTAACATTTAACACAGTAAAACTGGGTTAACTTATCCCTTCAGATCCAGGGTAACAAAACAGGAATAAGTTTGTTGGCACAGAAGTGCTGAAGTTAACCAGATTCTACTATGTATTGGTAAAATAAACAAAAGGTTCATGGGGAACAAAGGAAAGCATGTTATTCAAATGTAAAAATAATGAACTTCTTATCTTAAAAGGTGGATATTTTTGAGCAAATACGGAACTTGAAGGAACCCCCCGTATTCTGTGATGAGATGTCCTGGAGACGTTACCTTCCACCACTACCGAAACATAAAGGTACAATATCTAAAAATACCCAAAAAAGCTTGTCGTAATGTCATTTGCTTCGCACATATCATTGTAGTTGTCATTCACATATCATTGTAGTTGTCATTCACATATCATTGTAATTGTCATTCACATATCATTGTTTAAAACATACACGTATTGTTGTAGATGTAAAACACGTATTGTTGTAGATGTAAAACACATATTGCAGATATCATGCATGTATCATTGTAGGCCTGATACTGCCATACATGTATTTTAACTCTTCGATACATTGTTCAGTTTTGATATGCAAGCTTCTAACATTTGGTTTGTTTTTGTATATCTAGGGAGGCGTTACCAGAGTAGCATAATGAGGTTTCACTTGATAAACTTTGGTCAACTATTTTATGGAGCAGTCAGCAAAAGATTTTTTACATACATTTGTATATCAATTTTACACCAGGAAATTGGAAATAGTCAACATTTGTTATGTTTTTAGATCATCCAAAGGGCTGGTGTCTGATATCTGATGTCCTAGTCACGCTTCCTGTCAGCCTCTTCTGTGCCATGGTACCTGTCAGCTATAATGTAAGTATCGGTACCAACGGGCCACATCTGTGTAGCTCAGCATTCAGAAATCATTTGACACTTATTGAGGTTTAAACTGCTTCATTAGCACCTGATCATGCAACGTCAAGGAAAATTGAATTTCAAAGTCATTTAAATAGTCATTGACTCATTTAATAATTTTTTAAATCATTGATATTATGAATTGTATTTGTGGACTCATTTTGATTTTTTAAACGATTGACTCATTTAAATTATTGATTCATATTTTGTTTTATTTTGATACATATAATTTCAGTTTATATAAGGTCTACTAACTCATATAAAATCATTTCATATTCCAAAATCTGCATTTTTAATGTTTTTATTGAATAGTTATACGTTTATAGTCTTAATATACCTTATATCCATTTATAAAATGACTTTCCAGCTACAAGGCCTGAAGGAGATCCTGGACGACCCTGTAAAGTCTCTGTACCCCATCGTTTACCTCCCGTACCGACTCACACAGCAGTTACTCTTTGCCCGCAAGTACATCTTCGCCTTCCATGAGAACTGTGAGCGACTCGCCTATATGGGTCTGCTTTCATTCGGGACCCGACTTCTAAAGGAGAAAGACCAGGTTCGTACTAGTTTTTGCTTGTATTTTAAAATGAATATATAAGAAAGATTCGTTTAGTCTTAAAATGTTCCAAAAATAAATATTCTTTGATAAATTGTTCTGTTATCATTCTCTTGAGAATAAAAAAGACAATAAAAAAAGTTGTAGTTTTTATGAAAAAGTGAAAATTTGATGCTTTGTATTTTGTATTAAATATACATTACTTCAAAATAGTTGATTAGTAAAGGGCTTCAGGAATAAATTGGTGATTTTTGATTACAAATTAATAAAAAAAAATGTCTCTTTTTATGATCCAGGTGTTTGTTTACCTGTATAAGAACGTTTGTCTGAGGGACACAACGCGCTCCCTAGAGGGCTACTGTAAGATCACCATGCCCGATGGAATTAAGTGTGATAAACGTACCTACACTCTCCACAGCCAGCTAGAGTTTGACCATTACTGGACAGAGCTACAGGAGATCTGCTTCGCCAGTCATCTCAATGTCAGGAGTAAGTGGATACTTGGGAACCTCGGCTTCGAAGTCCAGTGGCTGGTTTTGGTATAGCTACTCTGTAATCTTCAGAGGATATGTATAAGCCTTGCAATTAATCCGGGTTTTTATGTTTGAAACCAATCAAATCACTTACTGTGAGCCTTTGCTTTTGTCATTGCCAATTTAAGGACGCAGAGAAGATACATTTAGATTTACAATTAAATTGGAACCTGTGTATTAAAACAATTGAAGAACTTTGGATAAAATACCTTTTTAAGTATCAAGATATGGGATGAAAGACTCCAGATTCTTAATATACATTTAACGATCTTTGGTAAGTAATGTAATGATGTATTAGTCCTCTTGTTATAAATACTAAAAGTTCTAAACTGATGTACAAAATGGTCATAGGCTGATAGATAAAAATATACAAATTTACATAAATTCCCTTAGTATAGTTTTGAGTTAGTGTTATAAATAGAAAAATTGAATTTACTGGTGTTTGCTGTAGAGATGAAAAACACCGCCAGGGAGCTTAAGGAGGACCCGCCAGTAGACTTGTCCCTCCCTGAATGCCTCAAGCCAGTCAGTCCAGACAAGCTTGTGGACGACCCTGCACACTGTCGTCTCCCCGGCGACCAGCAGGGGGCAGCAGGCATGGATTCCTCCTTCTATACGTTAGTATCCGGTGATATTTTCTGTAAACTGATCCATCAATGGAAAGAACTCACACTTGCCAACCCTCCCTATTTAGGAGGGAGACTCCCGATTTAGGACCCTTAAATTTAGTGTTTTCAATCAGTCAATTTGCTTAACTGTTCATATATTGTAAGATCTAAATATTTCATCTGAAAGAACAACTCCAAATATGTCATTTTGAAGGGTTATTTTGTCTCTAGTGGGTGTGTACACACATCCTATTTATGATTTAATTTTGAGCATGCATAATCTCCCCATGGAAATTTAAAAAAGTTGGCAAGTATGGGAACTATGTACTGTAAAAGTGGAAATGTTCACTATCTTTGTGTCAAGAAAATTAGTGCGAAAATATCCACACATGAATAATGAATAAATAGAATATATAGATTTCCTGGCGATCAGTTTAATGTGTCACGACGCAAACATTTCCACTGTAACAGTATTTAACTCATTCACCCCTGAAGTTTCATAATGAACTATTCCAATCTTTGAATTGGAAGAGTTCAAATGTGTCTTCAGGGGTGAATGAGTTAAAGGAGTTATAGTGATGAACAGATTCCTAACTTTTTATGTGGCCATCTTTGATGGGATATATTGAATGTTTGTTTATCCTCTTAAAACAAATACTTGCAAATGTGTCTGGCACATATCTGTGTTCCAGCTTATATGCAAACTTTATTTATTTTACAACAATTATGAAATAGGTTATATTAATCATTCTTGTTGGCTGGGATGTTAGCGTGCGGGGGTCTTGATGTTGGAGGAAACCGGAGTACCTGAAGAAAACCTACATGGACGGGCAGGTGACCCCATACTTTTTCACGTCCGATTGGGGAATCAAACCCCATACCTATTCATGTCTGATCGGGGAATCGAACCCTGGCCGCCTTGGTGAAAGGCAAGTGCGCTATCCACTGCGCCACCCGACCACCCAAGCTTATTGTTCTAGCTTGTTAATTGAGGGTAACTTCTTTATGATTCTCCAAGTTAAATAGTGTTTTAGGAGTTAGAAATGTTAACAGACATGCTATCGGTGTTGTACTGTTGTTCTGACATGTAGTCTGATACAGTGTACACCTGTCATAATTCATAGATTGAGTTCATAAACTACAATTTACAGATTTCATGAATGTACAGGAATACATTTATTAGGGTGGTCGGGTGGTGCAGTGGGTAGCTCACTTACCGTTCACCAAGGCGGCCGGGGTTTGATTCCCCGATCAGACATGAATAGGTATGGGGTCACCTGCCTTACCACGTGGGTTTTCTCCAGGTACTCTGGTTTCCTCCCGTCTGGACCAACAAGAGTGATTAATATAAGTTGTAAAAATGTTGTTTTTTTTTTGTTTGTTTTACATTTGTTTGTACACTATATTTTGCAGACATTTGTATCGTAACTGGGATTGGAGTATGAAGACCATGAAAAGGAACTTTCCCAACTACACTCACATGGGGCCTCTAGGTAATGTCAGATATCAACTACACTCACATGGGGGCTCTGGGTAATGTCATATATCAACTACACTCACATGGGGCCTCTGGGTAATGTCAGATATCAACTACACTCACATGGGGCCTCTGGGTAATGTCAGATACCAACTACACTCACATGGGGCCTCTGGGTAATGACAGGAACAACATAGGGCATTGGATCTTAGTTGTCCTAGCCTTCATTATTCCTTGCTCCTAGTGTATATAAGATATGAAGAGGCACTGTCAAATGTTGATTAGGAGAGGCAAGTAAGACTGTTGTAGGTCAAAACACATTACATGACTTCCATTCAGTATTTATTTTATGAAAGACAATTTAAATGAAAACTATATCAGAGCATATTGATGACAATATACATTTGTTTTTTAAAATTCAACAACTGATAACAATGATTAATGATACATTTACTTAAAAATGAAAGAATGACTTATCTTCTCTACCTGCTGTCTTAACCTGTGATATTTAAAAGAACGCTATAGTTATTACACCCACCTGTCTGCTGCTGCACTTGATGTTGTGTATGTGGGTATCAACGAGTCTGGTTGAATAGATTTTCAGTGAATAAGACATGTCCTTGATTTAGATGTCCTTGATTTAGTTGTATCATTAATTTATTGTGTAGTAAAGTTTAGACTTGTTTGTGATTTGTGTGTGTCTGATTTAGACATATCTTCAATTTAGACAGATTTTAGATTGAGCAGTGTCTCTGATATTCAGAAACTATGAGTTAGACATATTTCTTACGAAGACATGTGAACAATTAAGTGACTTCTGTGTGTAGAGCTGAAACCTGATGGTCTGTGGACCTCCCTCACCAAGTCTTCTCCCAAGTCCACAGACAAGTACCTGAAGGTCACCAAACCAAACCGCCTGCCACGTATCCTCCCTAAGGAAAGGCTCATGTTGACTGATACAGGAACAGGTGAGAAATAATCTACTTTGTGTGCAAGAGAGTTGGGAAATACTATTTGGAAAGAAGCAATTAATATTTTGAATTTTTCGTGACAAAGAGATTCTTGAATATCAAAGTTCATAATCATCTGGGTAGTGTTGAGCATATATGTCCTTGAAAAGTGCTTAAGTTTATGATTTCATAGTAAGTGCTTGACTTGAGTTTAAGATTATGTGTTCCCCTACTAGTCCTGACTGGCCTTGAGGCTTTGAGCAAGTGGGTGCGGGTTTCACTCCCAACATGGGAACATCCTGTTCCAGACCTTAAAAAGGGATCTCATTAATTGTTTAGGTCTTGTTCGTCTCCCACACTTCATTGTGAATTCCAATTTTGTTGACATTTCAAGTGCCCTTGATGATGACAAGGTGCATGGGGTTCACCAATTCAGCTTAATTTTTTGGTAGGAAAGTGTGGAAGAAAAATAATGATCACTCTTGTGTGATGCAGATAAACAGAAATCTCAACCCTTGGGATAACGTAAAAAATATAACCCTCAGGTTAACCCTCTGTCAACCCTACACAGGAGTGGTAGATTCTATTTATCTTGTGACAGTCCTTGATGAAATCTTCATTTGTTTATATCTAATTTATTGAGATCACCACTTTTCTTCTTACCTTGAAATGGATTTGATTCAATGGAAGTACGGGAAAAAAACTATTGAGGTTACATCGGCATATCCTGGTTGAAATGGTACAGGTGGCGCAGAAATATTATATATAAATGAACGTACTCGGACGTTCTATAAGCAGAGCTAAAGAGCTAAAAATGCACAGTTTCGGAGAATAAATAACAATGTATCAAGAATGTTATGCCCTTCTTTCATCCGTCCACTGAATTACATAACGTAACTTAAAAACTACATGTGACTTGACATTGTTTTAGAAAGAAATAACGCAAATTGGCAATAGCCAGCATTTTAGTTTCGGTCAGGTACGTCTGGACCCCTCAATCTACAGGTGCCGAATATTCCTGAGGTCAGCCTAGGATCAGATCTGTGCCTGTCGTTTTCTTTACAGGATCAACCGTTTCAACTGGTTGAACCGGATATGCGAAAGGGTCCCTAGAGTCATACAGTGTCGTTAAAAATATGTGTGCAATAGCATGCAAAGCAAGCACCAGTAACATATTGTAATAATTATAAAAATGTTAGGGGATAAGGTCCCAGCTTTTATCAAAAGGAATTAACTACTGAAATCAAAATACAGTTAAGTTTAAATTTAATCCTCTACCAGATGATGAAAAAATTTCTGAAAAAGTTCAGAATATTTTTCGATGATGATTTAAATCACAAAATAATTGTTTCTCTTGTAATTGATCACCTTATTTGACCTTGATTGACCTTCAGGCAAAGGACCAGAGGTGGTCAAGGTGACAACATCCAAAACCAAGGGCAACAAAGGAGGCAAAGGAGTGAAGCGAAAGAGGAAGATGTCAGGTTAGTGGGATTATACATTGTAATTACGAATTGATAAAACAATCGCTTTTTAAACTACAACAGATAAATAAGACCCACAATATTTCTTTTATTATTTCATGGAGGACCCCTGTTCCCCTTTTTTCGCCTATCAGGAGAAGGGGGGGGGGGGGGCACCCCCCCCTGCCGAACCGTCTTTATGTGACTGCAAGTTCATTGTTTAATCAAGTAGAACTTCCCTACAGACAACAACATCTTTGAAGGCCTGTCAAGAAAAGATTAATATTAAACCTGTACAGGTGAACCACCATCTTAAAACAGTTAGTGGCCCTCCCTACTGACTGCCTTTCCATCTTCTATATTACATGCTTTGAGATTATTATCAATCTATCGACACATCATATTACACTGATGTCATCAGACATGGTTAGTCATGGTCTTGGCAATAACTTTATTATTGACTTTTCTCATGAAAAATTAACAGTGTGAAATCAGTTAATAAGTGTCAGAATGAAATACATTTTGCAGATGAAGGATTATCTATGGGTAAAAAAAATCTGTTTTCAAATTATGAAGGAGTACTTTGTATCTTTTACCAGTATCATCAACAGTGTGCATGTACAGATTCAACCAGTTCTGCAAATATGTCCAAGTCATTTGAGGCAGGGATAATCTACTAGCAGTATCTGTTGACCTGACGTTTTTCAGAGCCAATGGCCCTCAAAGATACTTACCATACAAAGTTACTACATGTAGTGATGTTTATTGTGGAGATAGAGAAGGATTTAAGTAACTAAAGCCTTAACCAGCTTTGTTCACCCATGTTTTCTGTGGTTAACTTTTGTTGATGTTTTGTGTTGTCAGGTGGAGTGTCGAAAAAGAAAACCAAAGTGGAACTGTTGCGTACTCCCAAGTCACCGAGGAAGAAGAGAGTCTTCCGTACGTTAAAGTTAAATTCTGTCTGTAGATGGGATCCCTGCTTGCGTGTTTGTACTTGACTACCATCAATGAATAGAAATGAATCTCAGTATGGGGTTAGTGTGGGGTCAGTGTGGGGTCATTTCCATGGTGACAAAATAACTATACTCTAGACAAAAGCCTTTGAGATGTTTTAAATTATTGTGTATTCTTAGCTCACCTGGCCCAAAGTGTCAATTGAGATTCTGTTGTGGCACTTCGTCTGTTGTCTTTTGATTGGCTGATCAAATGGTTTAAGTGGCAGAACTTTAATTAAACAGTATTCCTTCAAGAAAAGAGAAGGAATTTGACCCAAATTTGATATGAAGATTAATTTGGTCAAAAGGACTGATGTCATGTAAACAAAGGAGGTGCCCCTCACTTATTGGGCAGAATAGCAGGGCTCAATAGGGGAACTTGAGGCAAATATTTAAAAGACTACTCCTGTAGTATGGTTGGAAAGGTTTTAACCAAATTTGGCCTGAAGCATCATTGGACCAAAGGAATTTAACTTGGGTTTAGGGAATGAAACATCATATACCTGGCAATGATGATTCAGCCTAGATAAAAAAATATTTCTTTCATAAAATCTTTCCACCCTTAAATTTTGGCTTTAAATTTGTTTTTACATGATCTGGTGAACGGTAGAATATTGTTTTACAGTCTTTTGTGTTGAAAATGTTTAAAGATTGATATTGTTTGCTGTTTGCATAAAAATGAAGATATTTTTTGTTTGGCCTAATCTAGCATGTGGTAATTTCAGGAGATGAAATAGACATAGAGGCAGAGAAGGTCAGGACAGGTCAGCGAGTGTCCTGGTCTGCCAAGGAGGACAGCATTGTAAGTAGCAATCAATCGGGGGATAACCCTACAGTATTTTGAGATTTGCCACAATATATTGTGATTAAACTGTAACGTTTTACTGGCGGCGCAGTGTCCCGCTGCCTCTCTGCTGTTGATCGGTGACGTCATTCAAAGTGAGGCATAATTACATTGACCATTTGGTGTCATGCTATTGTTTGTAATGTCATCAATAGTCAATTTCGTGACCTGTTGGGGTCGGTTTTAGGTAGTGACTTTATGTATAACCACCATCAAGGCCTAATTTGCTGACGATATCTATACAGTTATAATTATTTCTATTGATCAATCAAATGGTATGTAAAATTTGAAATATATTAGAATTGTCAGTAACATTGGAGTGAAGGTTTATATTGTTTGATTAATTGTATAAAATATTGGTTGCTGTTATTTGATGAACACATTTTTCAGGTGGTCAGTTCTGTAGTGATTAACTTTTGTACAGTTGTGCAAACTGTCATAACCGTATAAACAAGAGTCTTCCAAATCCATTGGAGATCCCATCCCACCGCATCCTCGATACTCCAGGGGTTACCCTCACTTTACTGATACTCCAGGGGTTACGCTCACTTTACTGATACTCCAGGGGTTACACTCACTTTACGGATACTCCAGGGGTTACACTCACTTTACGGATACTCCAGGGGTTACACTCACTTTACGGATACTCCAGGGGTTACACTCACTTTACGGATACTCCAGGGGTTACCCTCACTTTGCTGATACTCCAGGGGTTACGATGACTTTACTGATACTCCAGTGGTTATGCTCACTTTACTGATACGCCAGGGGTTACGCTCACTTTACCCTCTCCACCCCTGAAATATGTCATAGCAAAATTCAAGCCACAGGGCTAGCTATAAGATTAGTCTCTGGTAAAATAACCTGACCCATTGCTAGGCTGATACCTGTCTTTTGAAGATTACAGAGGAGCGACACCCGTCTTAAAAGTCAGTCAATTTTACCGTTACGTGACTGACAGATTCTTTTGATGTACAGCAAAGGATCAAACAAGTCTCCTGGTCTCTTCCACAAGGTGGTACAAACCGAGCCTTTGATTTTGCTATGACATATTCCAGGTATTGCATGTCCAACAGGAATGACTGGAGATAACCATACCCTGCAAAATAGGCCTGACATTGTAATGACCTACATAGGTGGCTCAATAGTACCACTTCATTCCGTCAAGGCTTTGGCATGTCATTGTTCCTAATGCTCTGTTACAGCTGCTGACCTGTAAAATCGCCTGCTCCATCCTGGCCCTGAACTCCCAGGGAGACAACCGCTCTATTCCTGTGCCCTACTTTGAGCTGAGAAATGTACTCCATAAATACTGCAAAGAGGTGGGTCGGACTTGCACTAATTTGCATTAAAAAGTCCATTTAAGGTGGCTCCACACTTTCGCAATTAACCAGCAAAATTCGTTGAAACTTTCATATAATTGTTATGCAACTATGTCGAGTTGATTTTATGAAAATCTAAACATTCCGATATTTTGGGGAATTTTTTGGAAAAAATACCAAAAAATTGAATTTTCGTCAATTCTAATATTTTCCGGGTTTTTTTGTGTGTGGCATTGTTCGGAACAATAACAACAATAATAAAATGAAAAGAAGCATTTCTAATTAACCCTACAAATATTTTATTTATCGCAAAATATGTAACACATGTTACACAAAGTGTTTTTTATTGAATTTGTACGGATAAAAGTGATTATCTACAAGCTAAAAGCACCCAGGACACAAAGTTCTATACATATAGAGTGGGAAATTGAACAAAATATACACAATGGCTTTATAATTAATTTATTTTACATTTTACAATCACTTTGATCCGGGTGAGAGTTATCTTCCTTGAAAAAAATCGGAACTTTTTGCAGAGGGGTGACATTTACACAATGACAGTTGTCTCTGTTTACATATAACAAAAATGATGGAAATAAATCAAAAATATGATATCAAAATTATCAATTTATTGTTCTTTAATGGAACCAAATTACCCTCAGTCATGTACACTTTGGACATCATTCCACAGTCCGCTAACTCACGGTATATTTATAATTACATGTCAGACCAGAGGCTATCGCATGGTATACCGTTCTCACGTGCACTCACACATGCATTTCATAGGTATCTTGATATTTTACAAAACATTATTTTCACAGAGTAAGCTAGTAGACTACATTTGTAAACACGATTTAATCGACAGAGCGAAACTCCCTCAACAGCGAAAATCGTAACGACCTCGAGCTTATGAACTCGTGTAAACACGCGATATGCACATGTGAGGTTGGTACGTCCGCATTCCATGTGTTTCCTATATGACCTTCTTGAGGTCGTCTGGTCTCATGTCACTGTCTTCCCGTGAGTCTGTTTATGTCTATGAATTGGAAAGCTTTATTCCTGAAGTACGTGTGAGTATACATTTCCCGGTAAAATCTTGATATCGGGTGTTGACATATCATCGGCACGCACGTGTACTATTGTTTACCATGGGCCTGTTTGTTTATAAATGTAACAATTTCGGATGTAAATCCTGGCGGACCTGCAAATGTGTATGCAGGCCTTGCAAGGCTCTCTCAAGACTCGCCTGAAAGCAGCATCAGATTACTAGGTCCGACCTTATTTAATAAACGAACAACAGTGGTCCGATCGGTTTGACCGTTTAAACGAAAACGGCCCAGCAGGTGTTACTATAATTTGCACTATGATATTGAATGCCCGATACGCAATACGGAAATGACGACACGGTGTACATGCACATTTGGATTAAGATAATTGAGTCCTAGCTGTACTTTTTCCGGAAGTATGTCACGAAAATGGACGCTGATGACGATGTGTCGAGCCACCTTAATAATCTTCCTACACATTTTTCATCGGTGACTAGTTGTTAGAGGAATCTTTGTGTTTTGAAGAAACAATAGCAGTTGTTGTTATACAGATTTGTAATCATGTATCTGGCAATACTTTATGCCTGAACATAATAAAAAAATAATTATTTTTTATGTTGATAGTGAAATCCAGAAATGAAATTTTGTGTTTGTTTTTAATTTAGAAATCCATTTATATTGTAAATTGACAAATAACATTAATGTTTTAAATTTAGAAACCCAAATAGGCAAGTTACCTTATTTTCAATATGACATCATGATTTATAAAAAGTTGTTTGTATTCAATGCAGAAATCCAAGGATAAAACCACAGAAGCCTGTAAAAGACGGATCAGCTTCATTTTGAAAAATCCCAGAACAGAACACAACCTGTCTGTGTTTCTGTCCGAGGCACTTCAAGACCAGGTAAGCAATGTCTGTGTGAATGATGAAGGGAAAACTTAGTGGGTCACTTAACACAAAAAATAATGTCATACTGGTCATTTGTGGATCGTCTGAAACAGAATCAGGGAAATACTGTGTTTTGATTCCCTGACACAAAATGAAGGGCATATTTTTGTGGTTCCCCTTAACTAAAATGTTGATCTAGATACAATTTCTTATTGGAAATCAGTCTTGATACATAGCAATGATATAATATATTTCCGGAAGTATGTTGATGGTGCCTCACTTCTCATATTTTAGATGACTTAAATCAATATGTCATACTGAACTTCTGTTATTTACTTAAACATAAAGTTTCCTGAGAGCATGCTTTTTATGAAAGAGTTCATAAACTTTCAGATTATGTATACGTGTATATACAATTATTTCATTGTATCTTTCTGTCATGTCTTGGGTGTATACATGTGAGAGTAAAACTAACCGTTCGTGTCTTTATACTCTGATATGTCATTGTAGAAAATTGACAAGGAATACGCCCGTAAGAAGGTGATGTGGATGTCAGAGGATACCATCAAGGATTTCAGGAACCTGTTCGAGTTACTGATCAAGAAATTCTCGTAATTGTCCTTGTTTATGTGACTAGTTTGAACTGATAGAAACTTTGATTATTGATGTCAGTATTACTAATTACGGAGGAGTTGGTATTATTATGGTACCGGGGTGTTGAGTAAAAGTTAGGAAATTGTGTACAATATTACTTTAAATGAGAATACTTTGACCTAGTTGCTTAAATGTGTGCCTTTTTTTTTAAAGTTAACTATGAAAGTGAAATGCCTGTGTGATGTTACTTTTTCAAAATAGGCCTGAGAAACTTGAGAATAATTTTCTTTGACCTTAGTGAATTTCAACAACTCAGATTGTGGTCTGTTGTTTCAGGACTGTTGATTTGAAGCAGAGTCACCTCCCTTCCCACCTGTCGGAGCTACCAGAGTTCAATGTTAAGATGGTGAAGAAAATCAATCTGCATGCGATCACACACAGGGATGTCCAGTCCACCGCCGACATGTACATTGCCGTCCTCAGAAATATCATACAGGTCAGTGGAGGAGGAGGCTGTGTATAAACTGAAAAAAATATTTTTAAGCTACCATCTGTGTTTCTTCAAGAGGTCCTGCTCTGATAAGTGGATCCCTAAAGGTTATAAAAGCAAGATTTGCCCAGCCACCATTCCTTAAGTAATCAAATAAATCGGCCTATGTATTTTCAAATTTGAACAGAATTCAAAATGAACAAACTACAAAAATAACCAAAGCATATACTAACTTGTGACATGGGTATTTATTGATACACAAATCACTGAAAGCTTTTTTAAAAGTCTTCATGTATGTGACAGAAAGAAGATTATAAATGAAGTGAAAGAGCTTTCAACAGGTGATGTGATTTGTTAATGATGTGATTTAATAATAATAATAATTTGAGGTTCCTATATACTGCTTTATCACAACCTAGTTCATGGTTTGCTCAAAGCGGTTCACAAATTATTATTTGTGGTTATAGGGCCTTTGCTACCAGCCAATACCTTTCTTAACTCCCTGGGGAGCATACAGCTGGAGCTGCCATTTTGGCGCTAACAGCTAGCATTCAACAATTCTAGCACTGCCCAACCACGTACTCATTTACAGCTGAGTATACTGGAACAAGCGGAGTTAAGTTTCTTGCTGAAAGATACAACACAGTGCCGTGCCGTAACTCAAACCCTCAACCCTTTGGTCACGAGCCCAGCGTCCTACCACTAGACTACCGTGCCTTCTAGGTTTTACTTTCTTGAAATAAAAGATACTACAGTCAATTTTAGAATTCTCATTGCTTGCTACTTCTGATCAGGACCCCTGCAAAATCTTATCCCTGAGAAATTATACAACTACAGGTGTATTTGTCTCAGTTTTGATTGATAACAAATACTATGTACTAACACACAGTGTTTTTTTCTATTTGTTTTATTAGACCTATGCTGCACTGGAGGACAAACAGGGTCGTGTGTACGAGTGTTTGAAGTTGTTGAACCAGTACCCACGTGACTGTATCATCACAGCTACGACACAACTCAGGAGCAACAGAGTTATCACACGAATCAAAGCGGTGAGTGGGTAACTTGTATGTTATCCTAGTGAACCATCCTCATTGGTTTGGTCCTAGTGAACCATCCTCATTAGTTTGGTCCTAGTGAACCATCCTAATTGGTTTGGTCCTAGTGAACCATCCTAATTGGTTTGGTCCTAGTTAACCATCCTAATTGGTTTGGTCCTAGTGAACCATCCTACTTGGTTTGGTCCTAGTGAACCATCCTAATTGGTTTGGTCCTAGTGAACCATCCTAATTGGTTTGGTTGGTTGTGCTTTACATCCTATTAACAGCTACGGTCATTTAAGGACGAGCCATGATTTAGTGGTTGAGGAAAACTAGAGTACCCGGAGAAAACCAAACGACCTGTGGAAAGTNTCCTAATTGGTTTGGTCCTAGTGAACCATCCTAATTGGTTTGGTCCTAGTGAACCATCCTAATTGGTTTGGTCCTAGTGAACCGTCCTAATTGGTTTGGTTGGTTGTGCTTTACGTCCTATTAACAGCTAGGGTAATTTCAGGACGAGCCATGTTTTAGTGGTTGAGGAAAACTAGAGTACCCGGAGAAAACCAAACGACCTGCAGCCAGGTACCTGGCGACTGGCCCACTGAGATCTCGAACCACTCACCCTGCATGGCACCAACCATCATAATACACATCAAAGCTGATACATTTGGACCACATGTGTATTTAGTTCTGTCACAGATGTTTAACAGAATCAGAGAAAGGTCCAAACTCTTAATATGTAGAAATATCAATAATATCTGAAAACCAACAAAACGTATTTCTTTGTAGATATAAATTAGACATAAATATATGATTTCAAACTTGATAATTATGAATAAGATGACTCTAATTGTGATTTGCTGTTGAGAACTTAGATGTTGTTTTTGATTTTGCTTCAAGTAAAAAAGTGTCTTTTATATTTTACTCACCAGCATGAACGGAAAAAGCAGCGTATCCCCTCATCCCTGCAGAACTACAAAATCTCCCAGAAGTAAGTTTCACGTTTTCCTCAAAAGTATCTATTATCTCTGGGCAAGTACATTTCAAATCATCCATTGCTTTGGAAAACTTTGTTCTAGCCCGTAAGAAACAGAAAACCAATTATCTTTGATTTAAAATCCATATTTTATTAGTTAAAGCACAAGGAATGATAATCTAATTTAATAGCATGAACTATTATTTTCTGAACAATAAAAGTTAATGAGCTGATGATGAAAACTTTGTGTGACAGGTACTGGTATGGCTACATCTCGCGGTTCCCCTCGTCTTTGTTTGAGGACAGCGTCGAGAGTCTGCACCTGTTTGAAAATACATTTAAGGATCCCTCCCAGCCCTTGACCTTCAACAACATCACACAGGGCGGCTACTGTGCTTGCATCATTTCCTTAATGTCACTTGGCATCGTAAGTTTCTTCCTTATTTTCAAAAGGATGTCCTAATCATTTTCAGTAGTTAGTTGTTAAAAAATAATATTGGATAATAAAATGTTTCTCTTTCTTTTCCCCCCCCAATTGTTGGTTAGGAAATGTTGCTAAAATTTTCTTGCATATTGGACACAGTTGACTTTGAAGTAGGTCAAGGTCATTGCTATGAGGAAAATTTATTGTATTCCTTGAAAGGTTCCTACTGGATAGATATCAGGACCCAGTACTAATGGAACTAAAGAAGAATTTCTTTTGAATTTGCTATTGGTGCTTATGTCAGCTTTTGACAGTGACTACCTTTCAAAGTTGACCTTTGACCTAAACACAAAATATTGACATACGACTTGCGCTGCAGGTCTACATATTAACTCAGATACATTTGTAGGCCATGGTCCTGAGATATGGCCTGTAGGTACTCATACTAATGATCTTGACTTACTTTCTACGTGGTAGGGGGCAAACATATTAAAACTTAAATAACTGAAGATTCATGAGGTAATTACTGAAAATGGAACTGAAAGACATTATGTAGACCAATTACGTGAACAAATTTCCGTGGTCCTTGAGTCATAAACCTGAAATATTTAAGATCTCTATCATGTAAAAATGTATATCCTTGCATCCTTGGGACTAGAGAGATAGAAATTAAAATTGGGAAATATTTGCAATGCTACTTGTAATGAAAAATATTTTGTCATGGTTGATTCAGGTGTGCGATGCAGGCCTTCTGGACCTCTTGCTTATGGATATTATATTTACCACTGTTTCTTAGAATTTATTTAAATATGAAGCTTAATTTGCATATTTTAATCCTAATTATGGTACTACTTTTTCTTGGGCACAATTAACAGGGATGGGGAAAATAAAATGGCCCCCGGCCTATATTTGATTTTGTATGTAATGTTTGTTATGGCTATTGTTAGCTTACATTACCGAAAAAAACATGACATTCATCTCAATAATCAAAAGGTCAAGGCTGGTGACATTTGGCAAGTTGATGCTGGGATGAAGGTCTATAAAGTTTATGTTCTTGTTTGACTTTCAAGGTCACTGGGGTCAAATGTGTTTAAATCTTTTGAATAACCTGCAGTCATAGATACTGATATTTTGCTGGTAGCTTTGTTTTAATCTACTTTTAAGGTTACAAGTGTGAAATTAATAACAGGTGAGTGATACAGGCCCATTGGGCTTCTTGTTTTTTTAAAAAGTATTTAATGGTTTATGATGGACTTTGATATGCTTAATCCCCTTTGGCTGTAGATGTGCATGTCCTACTTAATGATGAATCAGAAAATTATCATGTATCAAGTCCTTCAAAGATCAACTTGCAACTTCATTTGCAGGTGTGATTACCTTAGTACATATGCTTGTTACTGTTAAGTAGAAAACAGGAAAGTACATACCATCAACATTCCTGGTGCCTGCAGTGGTGGTCGCCAGATCTTTTTGGGCTTTTTGAAGTCCTTTCTTACAAATAGAAGCCAAGTCTTTAACCCTTTTCTGAGTACCAGCCCCTTATTCTTATCATTGGAAAAATAACATCCTTTTGTTGGTTTCTTTCCAGATTTCTTTTCACAGTCAAATCCCCAATGACATGATCATACTCGATCCATGTAATGAGCAGTCCTGGCGAGGCTTGAGTGATCCCAGGATTGACCCCAACAAAGGAACTGCAAGCAAACAGTCTGGGGCTCAGGAGTCAACGGCATGTATCGGAGAGTCGGCTGGAGTCACACAAGGTCCAGTCCCCATGGAAACAGGTATCGAAGCTTTTGAACCATTTGTGAAATGGCCAAAGAAATGTGTATGAAATGATTCTGTTCAAGAGTTTTTTTTAAATATTTTCATTTCTGAAAGATAAGAATTGATTTTCAGGCTTTTTAAAGTTGATTTGTCCTTTTATTTGTCTTTAGATGCAACAGATGAAGCAGTGAAAGTACCTGAAGTGTCAGCAGCATCAAATAGTGACACGTCCAACATCACCTCGACCTCAAAACCGGGACATAAGTCATCATCAGACGCTGACAATCAAATGGCCACAGTGGGATTGCATGAACCCTACTGGGTGACTGATGAGCTGGTCAAGGTTGTGGTCAGTCCAACAAGCTGTTTTGAGATGGAGGACCTTCCACAACAGCTCAGCTTTCCAGGATTGGCGGGGAAGACCCAACCGACGCCATCAAGGTCGTTGATCACGATACGAAGGTCGTGTGCAGAGGATGCACAGAATTTGAAGCATTTTAAGTTTCAGGACAATTTTGTGATTTCAAGTTGTAACATCAGAATGAAAATCAAAGCAGAAGATGAAGAATCAAAGGGAGACAATCAAGGGCAGAGAACTGTGGCAGAAATTGTGAAGGACGTCCTGTTTAGTCCTGAGGAAATGAAGCGAATCTTGCATAAAATTACCAGAACCTTACCTTTTGAGGTAATAAATGCTTCTGTTATAAGGAAGAGACAAGGTGTATGCAGGAAAAAAGGAATAGGAAATGTAAACACCAGGGATATATATGTGGAGATAAGTTATCATGTGATTATGATTATAATTATGGTAATGATTTTAATTCAAGACGGAAGTATTATGGTATGGGTTTGTCCGGCGTAAACTTTTGTTTGTCCGGCAATATCCTCCTTCATTTTTCGACCGATCTCTTTGAAACGTGGTATACATTATAATCATGATATGAAGTTTTGTCTCCCTTAACAGAATTTTGATTCAACAATTTTTCCAAAAGTTATTGCCCTTTGTTCATTTCAGTATTTGATTTTTTGTCCGGAGATCTCCTCCTACATTTTTTGACTGACAATCATGACATGTTGTTGTGTTTCCTTGAAAAGAATTTTGATTCAACAATTTGTAAAAAGTTATTGTCCTTTGTTTATTTCAGTATTTGATTTTTGTCCGGCAATCTCCTCCTACATTTTTCAACGTATCTCTTTGAAACTTGGTATACATTATAATCATGATATGAAATTGTGTCTCCCCTAAAAGGATTTTTTATAGCATGTCAGCTATCCACTCTTAGAATGATGCAGATCTTATTTCAAATATAAGAAAGTATATAACACTATATGGCATTCGATGGGCGTATATTGTTCCGCCCTACAGTCCTCTTGTTAGCTCACCTGGTCCGAAGGACCATGGTGAGCTTATGTCATACCGCATCGTCCGTTGTCAATCATCCGTCCTTCGTCCTTCTGTCCGTTGTCAGACCGTCTGTTAACTTTTCCTTTTAAACACTGCTAGTCCTGAATGGCCCAGTAGATTTTGACTACATTTGGTCTGAATCATCCTAAGGTGTGGCCCCTCTGGATGCAGAGTTTCGGTGCCCAATAAGGGAATTTGAGGTTTAATTCTTCAAAATCCTTCTTCTTCTGTACCATTGGAGGGATTTTTAGCTCACCTGGTCTGAAGGACCAAGGTGAGCTTATGCTATACCGTGGTATCCGTCGTCCGTTCGTCGTCCGTCCATCAACAATTTCTTTAAACGACTTCTTCTTCTTAACCACTGATTGGAATTTAACTAAATTTGTCTGGAAGCATCCCTAGGTGGTGGGGATTCAAAATTGTACAAATGGTGGGGCTGACCCCCTAGGGGGCTGAGGGGCGGTGCCAAAAAGGGTTATTTGGCTTTATTGCTTAAAGCGCCGCCTTCTCTGGAACGAAGAGATGGATATCAACCATATTTGACTGGAAGCATCCCTAGGTGGTGGGGATTCAAAATTGTACAAATGGTGAGGCTGACCCCCCCCCCCCCCCCCAGTGGGCTGAGGGCGGGGCCAAAAAGGGGTAATTTGGCTATATTGCTATAAAAGACTTCTTCTGTAGAACCATGCCATGGATATCAATCATATTTGGTCGGAAGCATTCATGGGAGGCAGAGATTCAAAATTGTACAAATACAAGTAGTGGGGCTGACCCCTCGGGCTAAGGGGTGGGGCCAAAAATAGTTTATTGCTTGGAAATGGTTGAGATCCCCACCATATAACCATATATACAACTGCTGAGTATAAAGAGAAGAATGCACATTTGCGTCCAGGATGGNGAGATGGATATCAACCATATTTGACTGGAAGCATCCCTAGGTGGGGCTGACCCCTCCCCCCCCATACATAACAAATTGCTGGGCATGAAAAATCTAATACAGATATGCTACAAGGATTGGCCTGGGGGTGTGGCATATTCCCTTGATCTCATTTGGAGAATATTTTGCCATGATTGCTTAGATATCCAGATGAGCAATACAGGTCCTATGGGCGTCTTGTTTGTAATAAGAATAATTTCTCATTGTTGATTTATTATCCTGTGAGTGATACAGACCCTCTTGGCCTCTCTTTTGTTGTTTTAAACCTCAAAAGGAATGTGGGTGAAAAAAATGTCATTATGAGATTAGGATAACGTAATTGGTACATTTTAGATTATGGTCATTAATTACAGACAACTTGTTAAAAAGAGCATTTTGTTAAATTCTTTGATTTACATGCAATGTGACGCATATGCATCTTGGCAGCTAAGATAATAAAACATGTTTTCTGATTTCCATATTATACATGTAACTCATTTTATTACCAAATGTCTGGTTATATGTCATTGCTAGTATTTATCCATGTTTATGACATTCATTTGAAAAAGAAAATGTATTTTCCTTCAGGAATTCATCGCTGATTGCTGTTCTGCAGAATTGTGATGTTTTGATTGGTAACTGTATGATGTAATAACAACGTCCTTTATTCCTCTTCAGCTTGATATGGAGCTGGTGTGGGAGAGTATAACTCCGCCCCTCTTGGCTCCGTGCCAGCAACTGTATAATGCGATTGACAGCCATGGGGGCCTCGGGATATCGAAATTTGATTTGCAGGTAACTGACGAGATTTCAATGTTTATATGCTGTTTAACAAAAAGCGGCCTATTTGTTTTAATCAGTGTTCCATTATGGGATAGTGTGATCACTTTTTTTTGTTTTTAATTGGTAATTCAGTTTGAATTTTTAAACAGAGAAATACATTTTAAAAATGTCTGGTATAGTTACAGTTTCCATGTTACCACCAATCAATGGTAAGCAATTACTTGAATTTACTGTGTTAGCTTGACTTTTGTGACGATTTAACAGTAGGAGGAATAGTCACCAGACGGACAACATTGATGTCCTTTCTCTGTGATGTCAACAGACTCGGCTGACTTTTTCACCTATTTGTATACATCTACTTAGTTTCTGGCTTAGACAGGGGTATTTTGGGGTTAACTGGGGTCCATTTGCTGTTTTAAAAGGAATATTGATAGTTTATGGAGACATTTTGATTTTTTTGCATAAAATAGATATAGGGCCCCCAATACAAACCCCAGGGGTGTAAAAATCCACTTGCCCCACCCCCTCGGGACAACACGCTTTAATGCTCTGGCAAGTCACTAAGTGCAGTAGACTGGTTTCTGAAGCAAATTATTGCATGTGTTTCTCCCTTTCCCCCTAAAGGAGGTGAATAAATGATTTACTTTACTGGATATAGTTTAGTGGATAAAATTGAAACAGTTATGAAACAAACATATATTCATAACAAAAAAAATGTATTCTTAGTTCGGAAAAAGAAATTACCGGTAGATTACTAGCGGTCTTTCCATCAGTTCAGATGATTTTTCAGACTTTATAGTTGATACGTCACCACTCGGTGACCTGCGACAGGTTCTCACAGGAAAGTCCCTTGACATGCATGATCTGTTGATAATCACATGAAATTAAGTATGTAATCATCTCCAATGCAGACATTTTGTCCGACGTAAAATCCTCTGCCTGTTAATGATTCTGATTCTGATGATGAAAACATTACCCATGTACCTAGTGTTTTCGATGCTAGAGACATCTTACATTCAAGGTTATTCTAGTAATTTGTGCTTTGTGTATGTTCATTATGATTATAAGCATACATAAGCCCTAACATCCAATATCACTGTTCTCTTTCTTACTGTCAAAACACGGAGACACAGTAGTCTAGTGGTAGGACACCGGGCTCGTGACCGAAGGATTGCGGGTTCGAGTCACTGCACGGCAGTGTTGTATCCTTGAGCAAGATTCTTTACTCTACTTGTTCCAGTCTACTCAGTTGTAAATGAGTACGTGGTTGGGCAGTGCTAGAATTGTTAAATACTAGCTGTGGCGTCGAAATGGCAGCACTGGCTGTATGCTCCCAAGGGAGTTGAGAAAGATATTGGCTGGTTGCAAAGGCCCTATAACCATGGATACTAATTTATGAACTGCTTTGAGACGATCTTGAACTAGGTTTTGATAAAGTGGTATGTAAGAATCTCAAATTATTATTATTATTATTATTATTATTAAAACACATACTATTTCATGATGTATTACTTTGAATAACATTTGTATATTGTATATATGTAAAATGTTGTAATGGTAACCATAGCTACACAAAGAATGGGGGGCCCGTCATGTAAATGATGTCGCAAATACAATGATTGAGAAAATGAGAACTCAAGACGTGTTCGAAATTTGTATTTCAATTAGAGGGCATCTTTCCTTGTAGGACTTGTTTGTGACAGAGGATTGGTACTGTCAGTGCCTTGACCTGCTGGACGAGAAGTTCGCGGTGAGTACCGCTGCATGTCCTTTCCTGTTTGTAGAAGTTCTAGCTTGTCTTATCTGCTCAACAGTAATTCTCTATTGACATATTTTTCCTTTCAGATTTTTGTGTCTTACATGATATTGAAATGAAGATGTTTTGTAGGATGATGTATTAAATGATCGTGTGTCCGTTGACAGAAATGCACAATTTTACGTCGCAGAACAAGAATTGGTTGGTCTCTAGGAAACACTGGTTGTAAAGTTTTTGATTATCATTTAGGTTTACTTTTATTTCAGAGAAGTTCTTCTTAATGAAAAATTTAATGAATACCAAATGTTGGATTTTAAAAGCATTTCATTTTCAGAAGGAAATTCATTTCACTCGGTTGACTGGTACGAAAGTTTCTGAAACTATCAAAATGAATTTAATGTTTGAGGGCATTTTGAGGAGGACAAAATATAGCAAACAAACTACTAGACTATAATCCCTATCAGAATTTCCAGAATATTAAATGTATCAAATTTAGTCTGAACATGAAATAGCGATGTTTATGGGGTAATCCTCAAATTAACTTAGTTTTAGTAATGATCATGTATCGCCATTAATGATAATGCTGTCATAGAAATATCTTTGCCTTAAAAAAATCAAAATAAAAAAAACTAATTTACGGAATTTTCAATGTGTTCATAATGAGTGTTGCAGAAATTTGTTCACTGATCTCTGTAGTGTCATTAAAGATATTTTCTGTATAGATTGCTCCAGGGGATGCAATTTGTCGTTCAAAAAATATATTGGGCTCAATTTGGTAATAAATTTACAAAACTCATCATGCAACTAGCAGTGTTGAGATAATTAAGAAAGACAGCTCTTTCAAAAATATCAAATTTATGTTTCCCTGATAATTTCTTTTAAAGTATTTCTACAGCTAGTGTAATTTAGGGCAGACAGATTCACAGCAAATATGAGTTTACAATACCCATATGAACGGCACACATCAAACCTTGTTTGCACTATAATGAGAAAACCAACTTTTTGTAAAGAATTGTGTAGCTGTTCAAAGTGCTGTGAAAATTCTTGTCTATATAATGGAAACTATTATCGAAAGTTAAAAAAAGATTGAGTAAACTAGCTCAGATCATGCATTCGAGAATACAAAACAAGCCAAAAAACATCTTAGTAAGCTTAAGTGTGGCAGGAAATGCATTCTCTTCAGTTTTTTATTCAAGCATTTTTTTAAATAAATGGCTCTGCTTAGTGTAAACCTTTGCTTAAGGAATATTGCATAGAGCCTTGGAGCTGCCGATTTGAATTCAAATTGGATTGTAGAAAGTACCAACGGACCCGACTTGTGCTGTTTCCCGCTATATGTAAGTACCTGTCTGTTCTCAGCCTTCGATTTGTTTTGTCTATTTCGTATTATACCTGATGATTGGTGGTTATTGTTTTCCCCAATTGCTTGCCCTAAAATGTTTCTGTTGTTGCTACTGTATAATGGTATTGTGGAAGGGAAACTGATGGCAGTTTTATCGGCTTTTCATTAGCGTGCTACTTCAGTAACCTTTAAGTTTGCTGTTTTGACATTTGATAATTTGGAAGTTGTACAGGGGAAAATCAAATTGTCATCAGAGTTTAGGAGGTTTGTTTTAAGTTTTGTGAGACGATGTGTGTAATTATATAAGCGCTAGACAATGTTGATGGGATAATGCTTCGTAATTTAATAAAATCAAAGGTCAAAGTTCAAAGGTCAGACAATGTTTATACTAATTAACTTTGGTCATCAGCCTCTGTGTCACAAATATTTCATAGCTATAGATGAGATTCTTCCTTTACTTCAACAGTGCTTTTTCTTTGGGGATATTAATCTTAAAGGACAAAAAATCTCAGTAACCATGCTTTGTGAAACCTTAGACTAGGTATCTAGATGATTGAAGTCTTATACAAGCTGACGTAAAGCAGTTGATAACATATATTGGTTTTCACTGTCGAAGCAATTGTGCTTAACCCTTTCACCCCTATGTAACTTTAGTAGACTCTACCATGCATTGATCTGGGTGAGTCTATTATGGTCTACAGTGGTGAAAGGGTTAACAAAAATATTTTATTCAGGATGTGCATCCGAAGCCACAGTCATAATCGGAAAGCTTCCACCTTCCTTAGATAATGTGTCGTTTTCCCGTTAAGAATCCTGATTTGTTCATTAAAGCCAAAAACAAAAGATTTGGTGTCTACTTTTGTGTGTCAGAATCTTACATTGAATTAATTATGCTTCATGAACATGCATAGGATTTTAATGCCTTTTTTCAAGGTCACATTAAGAGAAGATTACAGAAGCAAAATAAGTGAAGGTCAATGTCATGTATAAACTGATTAAGCATCTGTCAGCCTTACAATGTTCTAGTTGTAATAATTCTTTGGTTGCTTTTCTTATCACGTTTTGCAGTAGTTAAAACTAGCATCAGAATTGTCTCACAAATGCGCTACATTTACCAGCTACTGATGTTGTTTATTGCTCTCAGCGTGACAGCTTCTGATGTGTTTGTACAAAACTTTATTGTCCTTTAGTACATTTACTGCAGTGGTATTTACCCTTTTTATTTCAGTCATGGGCACATTAAAAGTATTTAGTGGAAGAACTTGTCAACAAGATTAAATGAGGTAAGTCCTTCCCCGAGTTCTGCTGTAAATAAGGATGTGTAAGTACATGTGACATAAAATATAAACACACCCAAATAGTTCAGCAAGGTGTCGGGAGTGTACTTTCAAAGTATGCTTCATTATATAATAAGTAATTAAAGCTCTCCTCAGACTGTTCACAAACAATTACTGTAAACAACTACCTTAAAAAACACTAATATCTGTTTGGATTTTAGTCCATCCCAACAACACTTTTTTAATTGTTTATTATTTTGAGAAGATTGAAACCATTACAGTGCACCATTAGCTCACCTGGTTCAAAGGGCCGAGAGAGGTGTTGCAATCTGTTGCCTGTTCTGTCAACAATTGTATGTCCATAAATATTTTCTTTAAATCACTTCTTCTCAAGAATCACAAGGCTGATAACAACCTAATTTGGTAGAATATATCCCGATTTGCAAATGAAAGGGACCTGATCCCTTTTGAGAGCTCATAAAGGCCAAAATAGTGTTAATATTCGGGGCATTTAAAAAACCTTCCATTTACGACCAGCCATTGGATGCTTTTTGATGTTATGTAACACCCTTAATCAAAGTACAACAAAATTTAAAGCTAAAAAATGTATTTCTAATGAATTCAAACTGAGAGTACCTTTCGAAGTACAGAAATTGTTTCAATTGCCTGTCACTAAGTTTTTAAATCCATTGGATTTAAGCTTATTATCCCCTGGCATTCAAGTTTGTACGATTTTGACACAATGATAGTAAATATGCCTCCCAAAAAATTACTGTTTTTGCTGTTGTTGGGATTTATTGGCATGTTTTCCTAAGTTCTGAGTCTGTCAGGCCTTAAATAGCACTCATTGTGTGAAATGGGTAGCAAGGGTTTTCACACAACGGTCGGTCTGTATTTTGTCAAATGTCATTGGCAGGTTTTCCAAAGTACTCAATCTGTTAGGAGTATAGTGGAACTTGTGTAATAGGTAGAAAATATGCCAAGGTTTTCACGCAGAAGTCAGTCTGTATTGTGCCAAGTATTTTGGCAAAGTTTTTGTTACAGTCATGTTGAAAACATTTACCATTACAAACAGATGTTACTTAAAAATTGCAACTTGGTTATCATAAATGAATGATGGTACTTAACAATGTCACCACAGTAATGACTGGTACTTAACTTAACAATAACTGAAGGTACTTCACAATATTACCTCAGCAATGACTGATGGTACTTAACAATATTACTTCAGCAATGACTGATGGTACTTAACAATATCAACTCGATAATGACTGATGGTACTTAACAATATCAACTAGATAATGACTGATGGTACTCAACAATATCAACTCAGTAATGACTGATGGTACTTAACAATATCACCTCAGTAATGACTGATGGTACTTTACAATATCACCTCAGTAATGACTGATGGTACTTAACAATATTACTTCAGCAATGACTGATGGTACTTAACAATATCAACTCAATAATGACTGATGGTACTTAACAATATCAACTAGATAATGACTGATGGTACTCAACAATATCAACTCAGTAATGACTGATGGTACTTAACAATATCACCTCAGTAATGACTGATGGTACTTAACCATATCACCTCAGTAATGACTGATGGTACTTAACCATATCACCTAAGTGATGGCTGATGGTACTAAACAATATTACCTCAGCAATGACTGATGGTACTTAACAATATCAACTAGATAATGACTGATGGTACTTAACAATATCAACTCAGTAATGACTGATGGTACTTAACCATATCACCTAAGTGATGGCTGATGGTACTTAACAATATCACCTCAGTGATGGCTGATGGTACTTAACAATATCACCACAGTGATGGCTGATGGTTCTTAACAATATCACCTCAGTGATGGCTGATGGTACTTAACCATATCACCTCATTAATGGCTGATGTTACTTAACAATATCACCTCAGTGATGGCTGATGGTACTTAACAATATCACCTCAGTGATGGCTGATGGTACTTAACCATATCACCTCATTTATGGCTGATGTAACCTAACAGTTTCATTTATAGAAAGAAATTATCACAGGTTTTGTACCCTTGGTTGATAAAAACATTTATACTGTCAACATTTTCTGTAGCTAACTTCGATTTGGTCTTGAGTATATGTGATAAGATTTTGATTATATTTGGTTTGATCTGCATTATATCTTGGTTTAATAGATAAGCAATATGAAAACAGTTTTGTTTATGAACTTAACAGTATTTGAAAAGAGAAACATCATTTTGAGGACAGTATCAACAAAACATTGAAGTAGCTAGTTAAATCTTCACATATCAAAAAACAAGTTTCTATGGGAAGAGAGGTTGGTTAATTTAATCTGTATGATAACTTGGGTATTACAAATGAGTAAATTGAAAAAAAAGTTCGCAAACCTCAGATTTTGTCTGTATATATTTGATGTTGTCCTGAAAGGGTTAAAGATAAATTTGTTGATCCTTCATGGTCTGTCGCACAAGATGATCCGTATTGTCAGTTACAGGAGCCACTGTCAGGATTTATAAGGGGTCAAATTAATGGTGTCATCGGTTTGTGCTGATGTTGTCAGACACAACTGTAGACTTTGTCGCCAGAGTAAGGTACAGCGCCAGTCAAATGAAGATAAATCTGTATAATGACAATAAATAGGGACACTTAATCTTATTTGAGATGGAAAACTCTTGACTGTTTGACATTTCACGGGCATGGAACAGTTGAGTAAGAATCTAGACACAAGGTTTCGCGAACTGTGAATGAAGGAATTGTCTACAATAAGAGCACTTTCGTCAGTGCCTTGTAATCGTGTTATTACGTCAACACCATCTTTGGTAAAA